TGTAATTTTAATATCTGTGTGAGTTTGTAAAAAGATTTCCAGATAGGTTTGATAGAAAAAAGCCAAAGGATACTGTTGTAGAAATAAAGTTCTTTTTATTTTTTATTTACAAACACATTCTCCTTCTCTCTCACATAAACACACCCTCACAAGCATACACACACGCATGCACACATGCACGCACGCACGCACACACACTCACACGCACGCACGCACGCACACACACACACAGTATATAACAGGTTGTGGACTATTTACAAACAAAAAAGCTTTACGTAAGCTTACATAGTCTCATATGGGGTAAATGAACAAATTTAAAAAGCAAATGAACAAATTAGCTTCATGGAGGGTGAACAAATGACCCTAACGGAGGCGTACACGCACACACACACATGTAGCATTTTGAAATAAACACTTTTTTTTTTTTTATCTGCCCTCTTCTTCTTCATCTCCTCCATCCACTGGTCAAGTGGCATAACAGCAGTCTGGGGACAGTAAATGTGGCCATAATACTGGCTGTGGCCAGTATCTTTGTTGCGGGGCTGGTGGCACAGACTGCACTTGTTTTTGTCCACAGTGCGGACGTAGGGCCTCCGAGCAGGTGGTGGGGAGGGAATGGGGCCAGCAGGAGCAATCTGCCGGACGGCAGGAACTGGAGCTGGACACAAAAACACAAACGGGCCAACGGGTCATGCTGTCCACACCAGGCGTGAATTCAGGCTTGGTTTTTGAGCACCTGAAGCGTCCTGTTGTAAGACGCACCTGGTGCCGGGCAGCGTACGCCACTCTCTGCTGGTCATACGGAAGCAGGCTTTGCCATAGGGCAATGATGGTACTGGCCTGCTGGTGGCTCAGAGTTTGCCCAGTTTCCACCCTAAGCCCCACCAAGTAGCCTGCCAGGCTGTCCAATCTCTCTATCCCTGGTACACTGCGCTCATCCACAGCCTGGTAAAATATAAGAGTAAATCAATGTTAAAAAGATACAATATCACAGGCAGAAGAACAACACAACCATCACAATGTACTTGTCACAAAAAGTCTTACCAGCGGTTGCTCAGGCACTGGTTGCACTGCTGGAGGAGCAGTGGCTGCAGCAACAGAGACAGTGAGAGTGGTCGGGAGAGGAGGGATAGAGGGGTAGGTGGTCATGGCAGATGGACCAGAGGCGGTGTGGGTGATCATGGCAGATGGACCAGAGGCGGCGTGGGTGGTCATGGTGGATGGACCAGAGGCGGTGTGGGTGGTTGTGGCGGATGGACCAGAGGCGCTGTGGGTGGTCATGGTGGATGGACCAGAGGCGGCGTGGGTGGTCATGGTGGATGGACCAGAGGCGGCGTAGGTGGTTGTGGCAGAGGATGGACCAGAGGCGGCGTAGGTGGTTGTGGCAGAGGATGGACCAGAGGCGGCGTAGGTGGTTCACAAACACACTTTCTCAGCGCCCTGGGAGACGTCTCCCTCTTATGACGTCAAGCGATCCGTTTGGGCGGAGGAGCAGTTTTAAGTGAGTACTGAAAATAACGAACTTTTTCATCTTATATTCTGCCCTTAGGTATCGAAAATCATACAAAACAATACAACAACTTGTCAAACGTGTATTTCCCCTAACTATTTTGTGTTAATCATAATTACAAATTTAACCTGACATACGCACTTTAACTTAAAGCCATCTTTTGTTGTTTTGACAACAAAATGAATGACAGACACATATGGCTTCCATCACTTTAAGAGCTAGTGCACGGATCCTGTGTTCATTATACTGGCATGCGTTTTATGCTTATTAAAGACAAAACCGACTATATTTAGAGTATAGCCTACTCACAAAGACCGAAATTGACAATTTTTTAAAGCAATATAATCCGCGAAAAATAGTTACTGGCCAGCTGTTTTTGAGGCGGATTTTCTATGAATGTGCGCATAGAAAATAATCTCTCAGAGAGCGCGCGAGCACTGATTGGTTTAAAATCGCTTGAATGTTTAAACTGGTAAGACTTAAAAAGACTTCAGTCACGATGCACTGCTGGCCCGATTGTGCAAGTGAATATTCCGTCATGTCCCGACCTTACAGTCTATGGTCCCGACTCCAAAACGCGAGTGTGTATTATCGCCGCAGCGCTTGATGCCTGCCTTGCACAACACATTATGAGAGAAGAGATAGAAGACGCGCGGCACTGCTGAACACTCAAGCTGTTTGTGAAATTGCGTCTGGAAGATAGTTGTTAAAAGAATGATTTGATTTTATTATCTGTGTGGATTACGATTGCGGGAATTTCCCGCATTATAAATGGGAGACCTGCGGGAATGATTAGAATTATGCGCAATACCCGCAATCCCGCACCGAAATTCGAGCCCTGAATGGTGTATTTTCAATTCTTTTGATTGAAATGTAAAAATAGTTACCTTTTTGGTTGAGTCCATCTTCAGGATGCAGCCATATGTGGATGTTATGCTGGCTTTAATGTGGTCAATCCTGCACAAGATATCTCGCCCATAAACAGCCAGCATCCACCTGTGGGAGGGGATAGTTTCGGGCTCAGGTGGCTCCTGAAACCTCACAGGGAGCAGGCTTGGCTGGGAGATGAAGTCTGAGCAGGCACCAAGGTATCGGCAAAGACGCTTCAGCCACTCCTCGCTGTGGTTCTCCCGCAGCTGCCTCACTAAGCGAGAGGGGCTGTTGCCCAGGGCCCTCTCCCTCAGGAACCTTATGACCCGCATGTCACAGGCATACCTGAATAAAACAAAGGGAAAGAGAGACAGAAAGACACAAACATTAAAACCAGCTCATCTCAATTGTGTTTTAAATGACAAACATTTTTTACACAAGCTAAGTAATCTCAGTATACTCACTTTCGAGTTAGGATCAGCCTAAATTCCAGTCTGTGGGTTAAGTCCAGCTGGTCCAAGATGGCCTTGCTGGTGGAAATTAAGGCCGTTTTGCACCCACTGCACCAGAGAGTCTCCGTGATCATAAGGTAGTACTGGTCCACATCCAGAACCTGACGGGCTCTCTTGTGTGCCCCATAGCCTGTGAGCTGTCTCCCACACACAGGACAGGACAGCCTGACCTTCCAGAGGTGGTATGGCATCCACAGTAGAAGCCGGTGTGTAAAGAAGCGCTCTGGAGCGGGGCCTTGGTGATAGATCAGAGCTGGCTCTGGTGGATCATACCACAGCTTCAGGTCAGTACGAAGCCGATGTTGCTTCCACAAAGCTGCTGAAATCCATTTCTGATCCTGTGGTGGTATGGTTTTCATCAACTTTGCGGGAAGCCATCCAGACTCTGAACCTGGAGCGGTCACCCTATCCTCGGCAGGTTGAACAGAGGATCCAGCCACAGATGGAGCAGCAGAGGGAACACAGGTGGAGCTGATCACAGGGGTGAGAGGAGCAGAGGACGTCCCAGAGGAGGCAGCGGCTGACACTTCCTAATGTATTAAAAAAGGCAAACACATACAGTAGATATGATTGCAAGCCACTTATGAGGAATGTTTGTTCAAAATGTAGCATATTTATGTGATCCAACAATATTAGTGTGAAGAAAACGATTAAATGAAAGAGTTTCTCACAACTCTAGAAGCAGCTCCTGGAGCACAGGTGGCTTCAGACACAGAAGAAGGAGGAAGAGACAGGGGGGAGACGGTCTGAATATACAGCCTGGGACTGCGAGCAGGAGATGGTGTCCTAGATGCAGGGCTGGACAATGCAGAAGTGCTAATAGGCTGCAAGATTAAGAGAACACAGTTTACAATATTGAATGAAATAATATATCATTATCAGGTATTGCAGTAACAATGATTAGATAAACTCAGCATATCTTTATGGAATGAAATTTCATTTTCTTGACTATATACCTTGGTTGCATGTGTCCTTGCCACACCTAGGTTTGGCTTTAAAGCTGCACCATGGGCCCCACCATACCGTGGCTTTGTAAACTGACAAAAAGAAATTAGTAACATTATGTGAAGCATTTTAAAATGCTATAACATATGATAACATAAATATCTGCAAAGACATGCATTTACCGATGCCAAAGTTAAAGTAGGCTTTAAAGGTGCCTTTCCAGATGTTGTTCCTGACTGCCCTGGTGTTACAGGTGGTGACGTGGATGGTGTGGATGACACAGGGGCCACAGGGGCCAAACTGGAAGGCTACAGTTTCACAGAAAAGGAAATTAAATTCAAAAATACACAATACACCATCAACACATTACAGTTTTATGAAACACTTCTTATACCTTTTTTGTATGGAAACCACAGTCACATGCCTGTGTCTCCCCAAACAGAGACATTTGCCCCCTGTGTTGCAGTGGACACGTCTCAATCTGTAACATATGACAGTGAATCATAACTATCTGCTCCCTCTATATATGACATAGCTTTCCTGTGTTTATATACATGCCCAAGTTTACCTTCTGATACAGGTCATGCCATTTCTTCTGGCGTGGTGCCGGTCTGTTTCCTTCCTCAGAAGGCCAGACCGCCTGTGTGGCAAATCTGCGCAGGCGGGTCATCCATTCACCCTCACCCATAGCCCTGTGCTTCTTGTGCTTGGAAGCCATCTTCCAATAAAAGATAGCGTGTGGCAAAATACAAAGTTTATGACTATTCAGTAGAGTAGTTAAAAGCATAATTCAGCCATATAGCGGTACGGGGTAATCTATATGATAGGCTAGCTATTTTTAGCCAACTTAATGTAAGCATAACAACGTAATAACATACATTGTGCACGATAGTAATTATATTGATATAAACATGTAAAACTGTAAACATTCATTAAAAATAATGAAACTGGCCGCTACCCTTGACATCTGCTGCATAAACAAGACGTTCTTGTACACGTAATAAGTTAGCTAACTAGTGCAAGTCACTTAACTAAATATAACAACATCGTCGGTTTCTTACCTCGATGTAGTAACGTGAAATCCAAAGTAAACCCAGTACTTTGACACCTGTAAAGTTTCAACTTTTTTTTCAAAACCGCTGGAAACCACTTAACCTCTGGCGATGCCCCGTCAGGTAGATGGAAAGTTTTTGGGAATGAAGGATAGTGATTGGTTATCAACAAAAGCAAGGAGACGGAGATTACGGAAATGGACTTTATTGATTGGCTGTAAACTGTGAGGTAAAGATACACATACTGATACGTGATTGATGCATACGTATAAAAAAAAATTTGGAAATGGATCATAGTAATTGGAAGCTGGGAAACGGAGATGATGGGATCAGGCTTTTTTGATTGGCTGTGAACAAAGATGGAAAGATGCCAATGGTGATTCGTGATTGGATGGCAATTGACAGTCTCTCCTTCTCCCGGCACCGCTATCCGGACTCTTGCTCATGACGTGTGCGTGCTGCGTGGGAACGCACAGCAAAATTAATAGTATTGGCGGCAGAAAAAAATTTATTTTCCAATGTATAGCGTTCCCTTCTTCGACGATTCAGAACGACCGTCAAAACGTCTGCTATGTCAAAATATATTTGCAAATTAGTGGGAATGCAGCCTATTAGACTGATAATAATAATCAAACGACAATAATGCTAGTGTGTAATTTAACCCAAACTACACGACTCCATCAGGGAAAGGCAGAAAATGGAAACCTAGACATGGCTAAACACAAGCTCAGCTACCCGTGCACCTTGCTTTTATTATAAGTGTAATCATGATAATGATTAACCAGCCGGTATCTGACACAGCTGAATCCATGGGGAAATTATTCCCATTCTCCACCAGGGGGAATCCCCAAACTACACTAGGAAAAAGAACAAAAACTCACTGCTTCTTGTCTGTAAAACATTTTTACATGCTTCAATGCTGTTGACTTGCTGCGCTCTTATCGTTATTGTAAACTTGCATCAAAGGCGCAGTTGTTTGGAGCAAATAGCAAGCCAGCGGCACTAACAGCCAAGCCAGAGAGTGTATTGACACCTAGCGATTATAAAATATACAGCGTATAATACATCTGTTTTATTATTGTTTTGAAGTTATTTTAGTTATTTGAAAATTACTTATGTTGCCTTTGAAATTAAGGCACAAGAGATGTTATTCTAGTTTATAGCGTGAATATATACATTTATAGTGTGAAACTCTAGGAACTCGCTTTAAGAATAAAATTAAAACTCAGACACGTGAGTGAACCTTAGCAACTGTGGCCCATCCCAAATGAATCCCTAAGCCCTCACAATCTTCCTCTGAGTCCACACTTTCGTGGCATAACGATGATTCGACTTGTTGTGGCAAAAATTCATCTCAAACAAACATCACTGCGTAAGAGACACTCAGAGTCAAATTATATAAAATAGAAGTATTTATTCTTGCAAGAATAGGAGCAGTCTAATACACAGTTGTTACCCTGTGCAGAAGAGTGACACACCCCCAGACAGACTGAACTAGCTTTTATCTTAGTTTCAAGGCCTTCTTCCCCCCAGAGCCTTCCTCCCAGTAGTTTTCCATAGACGTCACTAGTTGGCCCACTAAGCTCCCCTGCACTAAGTGGCCTTCTGACATCTAGGTCAGAGGTCCTTGTTCGTCTGTTCTCTGGAGTGTCTCCCTCTTCTGCCTCCCCAGGTACATAAACAGAATCCTCTCTCACTACAAGTGAGAGACACACATGTGACATTCTTTGAATCATCTATATTTAACTAAAGATAAATGAATATCATTAAAATTGCCACCACAACTCCTCACTTTTTATCATTCTGATTACCCATAATCACAATAATAAACAATAAGACAAATTTTAAGTCATATCATCACACTTATACTTTTCATCTTTGATTTTTCCATAAATGATCACTCTCCTTGAACCTGTGAAGAAAAGTTTAGAATGAAGAAGCATAAGGCTGTTTTTGTGGGGGAAAGGCCCCGTAATATTTTAGCAAGCAAGTAAACATGTTTACGGTGCCGGGCTAAGCGAGAAATCACTGTTCCTGCACTCCTGTAAACAGACCCTCAGTCACACCAGTAAGGAAAAAGGTAGTTATAACATAGTAAGGAAACAAACAGATAAAAGTATAATAAAAATCACTCAGTTTCAAACCCTATCTTTGTACGCCATCTCGTAACACGGATGACTGCTGCTTTTAACCCTCTTTAAATCTTTTGCCCTTAATCTTTCTCAGAAAATAAACAAATAGAAGAAAAACAAACAGAACATACATTTAACACATATCTCACTGTAGCTCCCGCTACCTGTATCGTCACATAATTTTGTTCATCCTTGGGATAGACTGTCATTTTCACCAATTGAACAGACAGCATGTTTCACCTGTCACTGTAATCATATTCCCCCATGAATAACAAAATTATTAGAATAACAATCCTAACTCCTATCATTAAGCCTTTTCCATTAATCTACGCCCATCTCCATATTTCACCTCGGTTTTCCTAACCATATTTTGTTCACTTCTAATTCAATTTAGTAAGCTCTATTTAATGCCATATTTAACAAAATCTAACCAGAGAAGTCTTATAATTTTATCCATTCTTCTAACCAATGCAGTTGTTCAATATTAACTCTAATATTTCCATTACAGACACAATCAATATATTTTCTACATTTACAATCAAATCAATACCTAGTTTGATTCAATCAAACAAAATCATCACAAAAACAGATTCTTCTGTTAAACTTAAACCATCAGTTGTGTTGATCATCTCGTTCGCCCCACGGACGTTCCGTGTTCTTTTACCTTTAACTTTTAATCCAAAACATGCTGTGGTTCTACTTAATAAGCTTCAACAATTATCCCTACAATTTACATTAATTAATAGATCTTCTCTTCCCAAAAACATTTTCCTTAAATTTTTCCTAATGAATAAGTAACCAATCAAATCTTTTGATCTACTGTATATCAATACTAAGCTCTATTTTGATTTAATCAAATCAAATCCTCAAAATAATCACAAAACCACATTCTTAAACCATTAGTTGGTTCACATCCTCCTCCAGGCGTGTTGATCATCTCGTTCGCCCCATGGACTATGGGATGGTTGTGGCCTGTTGGTGTAGGTGAGAGGCTTGGACCCAGGTGTCACACTCTCCAACCATTTTCTGATCCTTATAAGGTTTTCCCTTATATCACGACCGCACCCCCACTGGAGTGAACTGTCACCTGTGAATGGAGACCTTAAGTATTTTGTTAGTGACCGCTTGTCTAGCAGCTCGTCCCCTTTGGTGTGACCTGTGGAATCAACAACCTGAAACATATTATCACCGGATAATTTCTTGCTCACTTAATAGCACTCGGGGTCCTTTTACCCTGAAAAACACTCAACCCACTTTGCTCATGTCCACACAATATTTATACATTTGGAACAGAATTAGTTCTGTTTGATCCAATCCATCCTGACATTCTGTAAAAGGAAAATTTTAAGTTATGCGCTGCGCAGGTGTAGCACCTTTCTGCCACAATAATAACCCAGGCCAGGATAGTTAGCCAAATTCATCCATAACCATTATTTTATTGGCACATTTTGCCCTGTCTCCCAATCCTGCATGCTCTCTGTAAAGAGAAACAAATTTCGAGGTTATTGTCAGATAGTAAAGTACGTAGTTTCTTTTGTCTACTGTTCTCCCGTGTCCTTCGATGCCCTGGCGTTTCCTGTTGAAACAATCTTTGTTATTGGTGTGTGCACACTCACAGACATCAATTTTGTTAGGCAGAAAAAATGGCTTCTTTCAGGGCTTTTATCAAATTACCCCTAGTGTTCTCCCAACATTTATTCAGCAACTGTGAACCCCTTAATAAACCATATTTGGCAATTGTTATACCATCTCCCTCTTGATGCACGACACAACTCGAGCATCAATTTAACATAACATTTAACATAGTGTTTTTTATAAAGTTTGCCATCAACACTAACCCAAACGTTGTCCTTCAGACAAATTTCTCTGCCTCTGAAACCAAAAATATTACATTCTTCACTTAAAGCCACAATCTCACCTTCTTCTCGAAGTATTTGAAAGGCAACGGCCCTCAGTCTCACAGCGAATCTTGCTTTTCAGGCCTGTTGTTTGGTCTCTCAAGTCAGTCATCTACAAACATTTCCAAAGTCATCAATTTTCCCTATCAGGTCAGGTCGTGCTGTGCAGACTTGGTCAATGTCAGTCAATCATTTCTCCCCCTTTGTTCACAATAATCATAAATGTGAGGGGCTTTCTTGATAATTTCATGTTGACTTAGCCAATATGTCACTTTATTGTTTCCCTCAAATCTTCAACATTTTCATTTATCTCAGCCCATGCCAGATGGTGATCTACAACTACACAATTCCAATTTACTTAAACTGATCTTCAAATCTACATTATGTATGACAAAAGTATTACTACCAGACAGAGCTTGATGGCCAATCAACTTAAAGCTTGTCCCATGTTCTGTATTGTCTTTTCATCAGAATTATCAGCTTCTTTAAAATTTGTCATTTGCCTTAACCCATCTGTAATGATAAACTCATTCCAGAGGTTAATGACGCAATATACACACCATTCAGGCGGAATATTAGTGCCCCAAACTAATACATACAAGACATAAAGTGCTGTCACCATCACACACACTCGTACTAGACACACATATGTTAACTGCTCATTCTCAATGTTCACTTTTCTTTATATTATTGCTAAAAGATTTAAATTTTAAATAAGATTTTAACCTTTCCATTTTTCCTGTAGCTTCTACCTAATTTTACATGGTATCTTAACCACTTTCAAAGCACGTCTTGTTCATTATTCATTTGATTTTTAGACAAGTCAGCTGGGTTGTTTTGTTTCATTATCATTATTTTGCTTCAGCTTGCTCTAGCAGGCCGATAACAGAAAGACAGACACAGTTACCATCCCTTCCTCCAACTCAGGCAGTCTCTCTCACTATAAACAAATCATTTTTCCACCAGCCTCCTAAGGCTGTAACTTAGACAAAATTTGTATTCATTACAATAACCTTTGACCATTCACCTTTGTCATCCAGACTTTCCTTAAATCAAAAGCTGTCTTCATCTTTAGCCACCACCATGTCTAACGACCTTCAAGAGTTAAAACTATGTCATAGACCTATTAGTTCAAAATCAACACTATGATTTTCCTTGCCCATAAGGCAACCAGTACATAAAAAGTTTTGCTACTGTCTCCACAACAACTAATGGGAATCACTTCATGGCCTCAGCTGGCTCTTGAAAGCCCACTCCTGTTAGCCCTTTATCTATAATCTCCATCAGGGTTTTTTTTTGCCCGGCATATTTGCAGACGCTTGTCACAATAAAAAAAACAAGCCATACAACTAATGCGGTTTCTTGTGATTGGTATAGAGGAACACTCACGTTTCTGGGTCAGACTGCCTGTAACTCCTCACAGCTCATCCGCCCTAACGATAAAGGATGCTGCTGGCCTCACAGTCATCCGCTCCACTCTCATACCTTTCTCACATAAACACCTCCATCTTGAGATGCCCAATGACTTTACGTGATCCACTCTGGCTTGGGTTGCCCCCTGTCTGGCCAAAGAAGGTCTTACCCGTCATCGAGATGGTCACTCGTGCCCACTGGTGACCGCTCTTTCCAATCACCCAATCAGTTCTCTTCAACAGAACTCAGCTGTTTTCTGGAGCTTAGGAAAGGCACGTTCAAGAGTCACCAGGGCCATTCAGATTGCCTAATAGTGTTCACACAGGGAGACAGGTCAATAACAACAGTATTTAATCACTTAAATCCATTAACTATCTTAAAAGCAGCAACCTAGCTACTTGGATTATACTCAGTGAATTTAGATCACAACCGTACATTCAGTGTACTTCATCTGTAGCCGGAGCCATCGGTCCTGAATGGTGGAGACTAAATGAGACAAAGAAGTTTCTGGTCCTAAAATAAGCTAATCAAAATGTCATCTCTATCTGTATTATTGTTTTAAATACTTCTTTAAAGTCATTCAGTTTTATTTTAAAACATCTCTGTGTCTATGATCTTCAACTGAAACACTGTGCTTTACTTATTATCACAGATACCAGCTTTTAGCTGACTCATTGAATGAGAGAGACTCTGAGACTCTATTGGATGGTACACTGCTCTCTCATATACTTCTAACATCAAACATTTATCTATCATCTTTTAACTCTATCCCAGCTTAAGGCATCTTTGCCAGAAATTACATACGGTTTCAAATAAACATATTATTTATATTTGTCTTTTGCCCATCTCAGGGAATTTAGACATTACAAATTTCCACTCAGATTGAGTCTCTGTCGCACTGGCTGTTTCAGGCACAGCACACATCAGATTTTAGATAAGCGAACTGTTTCAATACAGCCCATAACAAACTTATCTTTTGAAAGCAAAACATCAGCTTCTAGTTCTTTCATGGTCAACTTTTCAAGCTGTTTGTTTAATCAGATGCCTTTCAACACATTTTACATTTAGCAACTGTTAATTCAGTAGCCTACTGCTTCTGCTTATTTGTTCTTACATAATGGTAATTATTCTAGTTCTCAATAACATTTCACATTTCTCAATCTCAATTACCATAGCTTAATCTCTGACTTCAAAGTTTTCTCTTCTAGGAGTTTATCAGTCTCCAATCAGGATTCACACTAACTTTGACAAGGCTACTCTGCATCTTTTGCAGTTATTATAAATCATCTTTGAGATCTGTCTCTCTATATTACCTTTACATATTTTGCAACTCACATTTGTTGGAGTCACAAAAGGATTCACTTTAAGACTTCAATCTTTTGACCTTGTTTTTTATCTCTTATTTCTCAGACCAAAAATTGTCACTGTCGTCATTTAAACACTGATCTATTTTCAACCCTACATTATTATCAGAAATGTGTCACGTGTTAAATGGTCCTACTGACCACAGTCAAGACAATCTCTGTCATCTGGTTGGTTCGTGTGTCAGCCTCAACTACAGCATCAGACACCTTGCAGTTTGATCACTGTGAGCTTCCAAAGGGCTCCAACTAACTGCACGCCCTTGAAGCAGTGTGTGTCCCATTCAGGAATGCAGTAAAACAGACTGTCACACTGTCTCTTACCAGAGATGCTTCTGTTGCCACCTGCGGGTTCTTTAGATTCCAGTGGTCGATTCTCCCGGCCCTGATATCGGTCGGCCCCTCTCTCTCAAGTTTACGAGGTAGAGCTGGAACTTACTTAGTCCAGGTGGCCAAACACCGTCCGATCTCAGGTCCAGGAGGCACGTCCAAGGAATATCACTTCTGACACCAAAACTGTTGTGGCAAAAATTCATCTCAAACAAACATCACTGCGTAAGAGACACTCAGAGTCAAATTATATAAAATAGAAGTATTTATTCTTGCAAGAATAGGAGCAGTCTAATACACAGTTGTTACCCTGTGCAGAAGAGTGACACACCCCCAGACAGACTGAACTAGCTTTTATCTTAGTTTCAAGGCCTTCTTCCCCCCAGAGCCTTCCTCCCAGTAGTTTTCCATAGACGTCACTAGTTGGCCCACTAAGCTCCCCTGCACTAAGTGGCCTTCTGACATCTAGGTCAGAGGTCCTTGTTCGTCTGTTCTCTGGAGTGTCTCCCTCTTCTGCCTCCCCAGGTACATAAACAGAATCCTCTCTCACTACAAGTGAGAGACACACATGTGACATTCTTTGAATCATCTATATTTAACTAAAGATCAATGAATATCATTAAAATTGCCACCACAGACTGTTAGGTAGAAGTCTGCTTCGGACATCGCTACAGTGTGGGCACAGAGGGCGGATATAAGGTGTGGATATAGGTGTGCTCGCGAGCAGTCTTCAGAAAACTAAAATGACAAATAGATACAGACTTGTGGACTTAACAGGCACACGCACATGTTGCCAAGCCATTTGGTACTGCCTGTAATGAGAAACACAGAAGGCCGAAACATAAAACAAGAACGACCAAAGTAATCGACTGCCATTCCCATGAGCTTTTACATCCCGTAACACTGTTCATAATAAAACATTTTATTCTATTCTATTAACATTTCAACTATTCAATTGAAATTCATTTCATCTGTTTTATTTTTGAATAAATTATTTATAGTAAGGTGTCCCCAGAGAATTATTGCTGGTCAAGGCACATCCCTTAAAGTCTCTTAATTTAAATAGGTGGCTTAGGCCACTGGCACCTCCCCCAGTGTTTTTGTGCTCACAATGCAATGCACATTTGAATCATTTACCTCTCACAAAAAGCCTTTAAAAAAAAAACTTGCCATCCATCAGCTTGATTGAGAAACCTGACAGGAATTTTTACCTCATAATTGTTATCACATTTGTAAATGCTTCAGCAGTAGAGAAAATAACTAAATTTGCTTTCTCACTATTCTACTCTTTCTTGCTTTTCACAGAGGTTAAAAGTAATAAAGGAGAGATTTACCCTTTAGACTCTCAGTTTGGAGACAGAATTTCACAGAATCTTTCTTTGAGACCGACTGCACCCCATCCTACACATAGTTCCACACTACCCTGGCCTGGGAAAGAGCCCACATTCTTTACAAGTAAGTTTATGGACTTCTATATACATATACTATTTCAAATGAAGTGACCCAAATGGCCATTTGTTTGAATTTTTTGCATTTTATTCCAAAATATCAACCCAAGTGGCATTTAAGGTTGGGTTCATGTGCACAATACATGTTGTTACTCTAGGACTGCTAGGACACCCATGTGAACTTATGATGAGCTGATTTAATTCATTATTTAGATGTTGGAAGACCTTTAAAGAAAGAGCTGCATAATGACTGGATGATAATAAAGGAGTAAATCAATGAAGTAAAAGCACGTCATGCTGTCAGAACTATACAGGGGTGCGTTTCCCGAAAGCATTGTTAGCCAACTATGGTCGCAAGTTGGTCGCAAATCCCATTGAACTCTATTGGTAACGACGGAACTTGCGACCATAGTTGGCTAACGATGCTTTCGGGAAACGCACCCCTGATTGAATATGAATTTAACAGAATAAATTAGTGACAGAATAATGTTATTTAACTTGTTAGGTGAGCATTGGTCATGAAATACTGTTACCAAAGGTTATGCAATTAATGGTGTTTTCCCTTGCCAATGGTAAACAATGTTTTTGTGAAGAGTGTTGTATAAAACAATAAAAAACAATCACAATAAAATACAGCTCAAATAAACATAAATCATAAACGATAAATTATATTATTTTACAATCATACCCAGAATTAATGTGCCATGCAGATATTTTAAAAGTATAATTATTGTCAGACTGATGTCTAAATAAGCCAACTGCGCAACTGGGCAACTGGGGTATAGGTTGCCAGGTTGAGATACAAACGGGTTGAAATAGTATATGATGTGTGGATTGTGTGTAGGGGTGTAACAGTTCAGTACATTTTCGATACAGCAAAAAGAAAGAAATGCCAGAGAAATTTCCTATTTATTCAAAGAAAAAATATTTTTAAATAAGTTTGAGTTTTCCTACATCTTGAAAGGTTCAGGTTTATAAATGGGGGTAATCTTTGAAGGATGAACAAATAATGTTTTGGTCATCACATTAAAAATAACATTTAAATATAGGCCTATATTTATATATATAATATTTAGATAATATTTGAGTTTTGAAGTGCTGGGAAAAGATGTGTGAAGTACTTAAAAGCATTTCACTATTCCAGCCAAACTTCCATGGTTACAGTTAGTGTTACTACAGTAAACCCATGGTGAATGTTGCTGATCTGTGGACTTATAGCCTATAACTAGATCATTCACGGCACAATGTTTCTCCTGGTTTCCACGTCAGCGCTGTTTGATCTAATAGAGATCTACGGTTAATAATGGAGAAATTTGAATGCTTCTCACTAGATCTCGCAGCGATGTTATTACTTCAGTGGCGAATTCAAATGTTTTCTTCACTGGATCTCTTAGCGCTGTGTAGTGACAGTGTCGCTTGATCAAGATCGGCTCGCACTGCACTGATAAACGGTCCGTGAAGCACAATATAATGAGTAGCGCAGTTTCGTTCTGCTTTCATTACGTTTGCCATTTGATGTTGCGCAACGTTGTGGTGGTTGCGCCAGCGCGGATTTTGTCGGCAGGAAAAATGGTCCAAGGAATCGTTCGGTTTGTATGCGTACCGAACCGGAAGCCTTGTATCGAAACGGTTCAATACGATTACATGTACCGTTACACCCCTAATTGTGTGAATATAATGCATTTAATGCAAGATCTGGCAACTGGTCAACATTAGACAAACATATTGGTCCGATTATTCATAAAGGAGTTTGGGCCATGCAAATTACGGGAGTTTCCCGGGAGAAATAACAAACCGGGAGGGGTCCGGGAGATAGGGCTAAAAAACGGGAGAAACCCGGGAAAAACGGGAGTGTTGACAGGTATGGTCTATCACTGTATACATATATAAGCTCCTTCAGTATTATCAACAGCTATCGCGTTTCGCAGGAGCTGATTACCCTCCTCCATCCCCAGCTCCTCCTCTTGCCAGTCAGGATTTGGCATTGATAGATATAATCAAATTTACTTACTTCAATTTATTTTCTTTATAAACCAACACCAACCCCTTCTGTCTATGCATGTGCCTGTAGAGTAGGATTGTAAGAAAGGCTAGTTTCTGTGACTGTACCAAAAATTGTTGGCATCAAATGTTGGCTCTGTCCTATTTTGTGCAATCTGTCTGGGTCCAATAGTAAATGCCACAGTTTTACTTCCCTTCCTGTCTGGTCAGCCATGATATTTCTATTTTTTTGGAACATTTTGATTAAAATAAATGTTATAAATCAAATCAAACAAGAGAATATGCCCATTCAGATGGCAGTGGAGGCAGAATAGTCTCAATTATAATTCATATTAAAATATGGAGGCAGAATAGTCTCAATTATAATTCACGCAAAAAAACATGATTCACACATGCATGGAACCTATTGCAACCTATTGGACAATTCCACATGCATGGAACCTAATTCACGTACACACAAAAAAAATTCACGTGCTTGAAAAAAAAAAATTCACAAAAAGCAATTCACATGCGCAAAATACAATGACATATTCATAAAATACATTTCACAAATGCAAAACACAATTCTTAGATATAAAACTGTGCACAAAAACCTTTCAATGTTTAAAATGTACGAGTTTATCCTTGAATGTGAATGTGCAAATCGTCATTCACGTGTGAATCGCCCTGGATTTGTGTGTTTTTTTTAACTTTCCTGGCAGGGCTGTCCTCCTACACAGATCAGTCGTACTCTTTAGCCAATCAGATTTAAGCTTATCAATCGACCAATCAGTATAAAGTGAGGGCGGGCCTACCTGCATGTTACGTCACAGAGCTGCCAACTCTCACGCATTGGCCATGAGACACACGCATTTGATTGGTTTCACACGCTCACACGCCACACCCCCCATTTCACACGCTGAAGTGTCAACCTGGTCGGTCAAATGCCTGGAAGATGAGTTTATCTATATATCTACCTGTTGAGCCACTCGTGATCGACTAGTTATGCCGCAAATTAGTTAAAACTCCCGGAATCTAGAGCGAGCGCGCACACGAGACAGAGATTGTGCTTGACTTTCAAGTCAAGTGGCGTGTTATCTATACGCATTTTGAGCTATCCACGTGAACCGTCATCTTTTGCGTGTATGTCTACGCCGTTAAATGTCCGAGTGATTCCGCGTGTATGTACACGCCGTTAAATGTCCGAGCGAAACGAAGCAAAATGTAGATCTACATCTGGGGAGCGATATTTTTTTTCCTAAGATGGTAGGGGAAGACGGGGTTGATAAACACGCTGAAAAGCGATTATGCATGTTGATAGCAATCCAAAAATGGAAATACGAATTGGCGTGTCATACATACGCCATTTCATGAGATCAATCTGTTGAATGTGACTACTGTAGGAGCACATCTGATCTCTTCTGGAAGCTGGTTCCAGCTGCGGCTGGCATAATAGCTAAAAGCAGACTTGCCATCCTTAGAGTGAACCCTTGGTATTTCTAGCTGATGTGATGCTAATGATCTGAGTGAGCATATCTGCAATATATTGAGGTCCTAGCACATTGAATGATTTATATTCCAGTAATAATACTTAAAAAATCAATCCTAAATGTAACTGGGCGCCAGTGTAAAGACCTGAGGACTGGTGTGATATGTTCATATTTTCTGGTCCTGCTAGTGCTCAGAATCCTGGCAGCAGCGTTCTGTATGAGCTGCAACTGTCTTATGGTCTTTTTAGGAAGGCCAGTGAGGAGTCCATTACAATAATCCACCCTGCTGGTGATGAAAGCATGCACAAGTTTCTCTAAGTTTTGACTGGAAACAAAGCATCTAATTCTTGCAATATTTTTCAGATGATAGTATGCTGATTTAGTTATTGCTTTGACATGACTACTGAAACTAAGGTCTGACTTAGAGACACACCAAGATTCCTGACTTGATTTTTAGTTGTTTGACCCCTAGAGTGAAGGTATGCGCTCACCTTGAGAACTTCATCTTTGTTTCCAAACGCAATGACTTCAGTTTTGTCTTTGTTTAACTGAAGAAAGTTTTGGCACATCCAACTGTTTACTTCATCAATGCATTGGCACAGGGAGTCAATGGGGCTGTAGTCGTTAGGCGATAGGGCTAAGTAGAGCTGTGTGTCGTCTGTAGAGCTGTGTGTCGTCTGCATAGCTGTGGTAAGCAATTTGGTTCTTTCTCATTATTTGGCTCATTGGGAGCATATACAGGTTGAATAGGAGAAGCGCAAGAATTGAGCCTTGAGGGACTCCGCATTTCATGGATGTCCACTCAGATTTATGGTCTCCTATACTCGCATAATAACCTCTCCCTTCTAAATATGACCTGAACCATTTTAGGACTATCCCAGAAAGCCCCACCCAGTTTTCCAGCCTGTCAAGAAGTATGTTATGATCGACAGTGTCAAATGCAGCACTGAGCTCGAGTAGTACCAGCACTGATAATTTGTCTGTATCAGTATTTAAGCGAATATTGTTTATTATCTTTATGAGCGCTCTGTGCTGTGATGCGGTCGGAAACCAGATTGTAAATTGTCAAAGTATCCATTCGAGCTTAAGAATTTGTTCAGCTGATTGAAGACAACTTTTTCAATGATCTTGCCTATGAAAGGAAGATTTGAGATCGGTCTATAGTTGCTTAAGATGGTCTTATCCAGATTGCTCTTTTTCAGGAGGGGCTTGACAACTGCAGTTCCGTTTCGAGGCGGTAACTTCAACATTACGTCAGCATAACATATATGGCCTTTCGCTGAAATCTTATGGGCTAACGCTAGCTGGGGACAGCTGGCCAATTGACGAGAAGCATGCAAATACTGACAGGTTCGCGGGCAGTATAAAATGAATGGGCGCGACAATAGGCTTTATGCCGAGCGTCACGTGACCAAGCCGGAAAACAGATCACATCGCTTCCGATTCAGGTCTTTTGTATGTCCTTCATGAATTTTTTTGCGGTTTTACTCAAGATAACTTAAAAGGAGCAAGCAAAAATGAGCATAACCAATGTCCC